TTGTCGGGAGTGCCTTTGTCCTCGCGCTAGTCGCATGAAGGATTGCCTGTATGGATGGGTGGACGGAAGGGGAACCGGTGTAGTCAGTGAAAAGATTAGATGACACCATAGCCACCAGTGTTGAAGATGATTGACGACCTGCTGCATGGCACTCCGAAATTGGATGTCCATTTGTTTTGCAAGTTATTAAAAGGCACTCCAAGTGTTTAGTTCAGTGGTAGGGGAGTTGGTGTGGAAGGGGATGTGACTTTGTTGTCCGCTGAACCGTGGATAGGCATGTAGTCACAGTAGCTTACTTCGCAAAGCAATCAATCTTTGCCGATGTTCAAAAAGGTTTGTGTAGGAGGACTGGGAATGCTAATGTAGGGTTTTGAGTCCTCCAACTCGCAGGACGACAAAGCAATAAGGGCGAGCATGCTGCCAACTGTAACAGGATTAACGGTTCTCTGGTCCTCACACACACACACACACGAGCAAAACATAAAGCCACCATTGAGGTGAAGACGCCTGTCTCGTCTTTTGAATGCCGACGTGTGTGAGGGTTTAAGGGGATGAGGGAGGCGGACGGTGATCTATGAGGCGAGTTGCAATGGAAGCGAGGGAAGAGATGTAAGTTTCCGCTTAAGAAATTGCCTGAATGTAATTTTGCTCAGAGGAACTCAAAATGTTGCTTGGAGTACTTAACCTTGTTTATGAAGGGTGTTATGGATTGAGTAAGGAGATACACGTTGTATAAACTGAAAGAAATCAGAAAGGTATGCGCTCATCCTGTTCACCGACCCGTCTCATCATCCCTGTCCTTTCAAATGCATGTCCTCTCTTGGCTCCCTCTGAGGCGGAATCCGCATCAGCAATGGAGACGAGGTGTAGTATTTAGAGGCTACCCGAAATGTGGAAGAGGAGATAGTGTGTCTGTTAGTAGAGACAGCATGCCGAACCTTCACAACAGATAGAAGAATTTAAGCTCCATCCAATTGTTGGTAAGTAACCAGCCTTGGTTCGAATCCAGAATGTGTGGGAAAAGGTCATTATTGGGAGTCGACTGTCACCTTAGTTTTGGGTTGCCAAACAAATAGCATCCTGCCCCGGATGGGAAGAATTAGGGCCTTGGCCATTGCTGTCGGCCCTTGCAGTCATGAGCTGAAGGATGCCCCAATTTGCAGCGGCTGAGAGAAATGTGTGTATTACTTTTCGTCGATGCCTTTATCTTCTGGCTGTAGCTGTTCAAATCCACAGGACCGACGGAATGAAATCACTAAAGATTGTGTTTTGTGAATGGTGGCAGCATGTTAATGTTCTGCATGGATATCAACGGCATCGCAACCAGAATGCCTTTCTTACCTGTCGTGCATGCGCGTATAGGTGGAAAGGTTTTAGGGGAAACCGTCCTGATGGTAAAGTGGAGAAGCAAATACGGACGTCGTCCACTGTCATAACAAATATAAGCTCTCGATCGCTCAAAAGTTTCTTTGCTTTGAGGAACAGGTGTGACAAATCGGTTAGAGGTGGGACAGTCCCACATTTTGTGTTCCTTCCTTGTTCCTCTGTGTCACGGCACCACAAGATCCCTGGCGAGACGAATTGCCTACATGTTGGATTCGAGGCACGTCACCCTATAGGTGTGTCGCCTTATTTGATGATCATCTTGCTCACTACACTTTCAAATTAGCACTATTGAGTGCACAGTAGAAGTTGGACTGGATTTCGCAAAAAATGCTAAAAGCCAAGTTATTGGAATACGAGGTACAATGAAGTAGCAAGCAACTGGGGAGAGACATGTAATGCGGACAAGGCTATGGAGGGACTTATTCGAGTCGGGCAAAATTGGAGTGGATTTGGTGTGAGCTGTCGTAATGAAAGGAAAGATTGCGCTTGCAACGAAGGAAATAAAAAGACAGTTGACATCGTTTGCTTTCTAGGCGAGCGCCACTTTCCAATGTACTGTGTGGAGCAGTGGCCATCCCCACTACAACGCCTCATCTACTCTGTGCTGGTGGTGATCGGTCAGTTTCTCACGCCTCTCATCGTCACTCTCATACTCTACGCGCACATTGGCTGGTGGCTTGCGCACCGCCGTGGTCAGCTGTACCACACTCAGAAGACGTCCGCCGGTCACATTCACCTAGCCGCCCGACTGGAAGTGCGTACTCGACGCACTCATCGCATTCTCGTTGGTATTGTCGCCTGTTTCGCCGGATGTTGGACACCCTGGACACTCTACTCGCTGTACCTCGAGTGTACTGTCTTCGCTATCGCTGACGTGCCTGTTGAGGAGATGGCTATGGTGGATCCGGGCAACCAGAATATCACTGTGAATGCAAATCTGAAGACTACAGATCTGGTTCTAAAGGCAAGTTTGCGACTTTCATAACGCCAGTGGACTGGTAGACTGTTAAAGGTTGAAGTGAAAGGACCTCATTTTTGGTGCTGCCAGATCTAGAATAGGTGTCAACAGACATGCTCTGTCGGCGTGCATTTGGAGCGAAAATTCGCCTCTTTTCCTTTGCTTCAACTGGACTGTTGATTAAGATGTGGAGAGATTTTAGGCGTCGGTTGTCTGGAGCACGTCTGGAGGTAGTCATTAAATGGGGAGGCATTTGGCCTCAATGCCATTGGCGCCCGTTAACAAAGTGTGAGGATGTAAGCTTTGTATCCCATGCGGGAGGCCATGGAGCAATGACCCCATAGCACAGTGAGTGAAACAGTCGAGTGTTCTACAGGGATCCACGGGATTACATTGATATTTGAACAGATCCATTGCGTTATCATTCATTTGATGAAGTGACGGAGGAGATATCGCCGATGGTCACAATTGCGCGCTTGGTGCTGTGTGTCTCTGTAGTGAACGAAACGCGGCTAACAGCAGCTTAGGTTGCTTTACTTTGTAACCGTCTCCAAGTCTCCCTTATCTAAAATTGTGAGCGTTGACACTCAGCGCTCGAGTGCACTTGCAGAGTAAACTGTTGGCGTGTCTCGCGAAAACTATGGATTCTCTTGACAAACCTGAGCGCAAAGTTATCGTAATCTATAGATGGGTGTCAGTGTGCTGGAATGAAGCAGGACTCCAAGACAGCGCGTGGTGTTTGTTGTCCTTTCACGCGACTCTTTCTCCCCTCCACCTATGCCTGACGTTGAGCAGCCTACGTCAGATTGTCTGCCATCACATAAAGTACGTTAACTCTTCCAACTTGCAAAGAAGCAGTTGCTAACAACAGGGTGCATTACCCTTCCATGCGTTGCTTATGGGAGCGCGGCCTTATAGCGGGCCGATCATGAGGTCAACGGGCTGCGAGCCTGTACTGCCGGTGTGCAATGCTGAGTTTGACGTGGTTGCCTAATAAAGAGTGCACGCAGTTAAATGCCGTGTGGTCTCGAAAGGAGGAGGGTCATCTTTTTGCTATCGACTGTTCAGCACAAGTATCCTCCGCTAAAATGGCTTCCGTAAACCAGACTATCTGTGCTCAGAGGTGTCGCTATTTGGGGGACCAATGTGCTAGAAGATCGTTGCCACTGGCCTCTAGCTTGTAGGCATTTGGAGTAACATTGTGTCGGTTTTCGTTGTAGTTGTTCGCGCTAAGTTCAACGTGTGCCAATCCCTTCCTTTATGGTTGGCTGAACGAGAATATTCGTAAGTCCATCATTCGAAGGACAGGATTGTGCATGAAGAAGTCTCCGCATTACAATCAAACTTCAATGGATGTCAATTCTTCCCACATAGACAAGGCGCACTCCTTTGCCGCAAACTGATTTGAGCCATGAACTCGATCACTGCGACCGCGGATTTTGCTGTGTATGAAACAGTTTCTCTGGAATGAAGGAAAATCAGTAGGACTCTGCGAAAAATTGTGACCAACTTGTCATTTATTTTTGTAATGAAGGCACCTGCAAAATGCAACTTTCTTCCATGTTTTGTTAGAAAGTAATGACAAACAATTGAATCTGACGTAGTCGAGGGGTTTGAAGAAGCTGGAATTGTGGGTTGGGGAGTGTGTACCGTTTGTAAATGTTCCTGCAGCATGTAAGCGACCACTGGAAGGA